CTTTTAATTTTATTACTATTATTATCAATAACTATTTTTATTTTAAATTTATTTGCTTTGTATCTCAGTTGTAGCCCCCTGCCTCTTTCCCTCTTCCTCCTCAATCCCTCATTAGTAGTTTACAGATAGGGAAAGTCCCCCTTCCCTGTTGTCTGACCCCTAGCCTATCAGGTCTCATCAGGACTGCCTGACCCCTCTTCTGCTGTGGGCTGGCTAGGTTGATCCACCAGAGAGAAGTGATCAAGAAGCAGGCAACTGACTTTATGTCAGAGACTGTCTCTTCTCCCCTTACTATTTCATAGAACCAGAAAAGTCATATCAAAGTAATGTTCTATTTGATCTGGTTATGGTTCCTTTTTTCAATCTATAGAATTGTTGTACTTCTAAACATGCTGAGACATGTCTTTTTTGTTGTTGTTGTTGTTGTTTCTAGGTAGGGGTTCTCTGTGTAGCCTTGGCTCTACAGTATTCACTTTGACCAGGTTGTCCTCAAATTCTGTTATCCACTTGCCTCTACCTCTTATGTGTTAGGGTTAAAGGCATGTGCCACCATTCCTGGCTAATACATTGAATTCCAATAGTTGTGATTCTTTCATTTAAAGAATCACCACAGTTATAACAAGAATATGTTTATGCATTGTGTTAGCTCTAAATGGGAATGGAGGGCTTAGTGAGCTTTCAGGCCATTCTTATTTATTCCAAGCATGCAACATCTGGGTCGAATCAAGATTGCTTTGGATAAAATGTTCTCGATATGGTAATCAAACCTAGTATATATTTTTACATGCTTTCAGTAGAGCACTATCTTGCTTTACTTTGAGGAAACTGAGATGAATCATTTTTTTTTTTGCATAGAAGAGAAATTAAAACTTCAAGTTCCAATTCATGTACAGATATTAATTTGTTTCTTGAAGTTTTCCTAGTGTAATAATAGATATGTCATGGTACTGAAAATATTTCTAGAGAGCAAGCTAAAAGTCAAAACAATAAATCCATAATCTTAATGACTTTACATGACCATGTTTATTTCAAAACCTTGTATATTGTTTGTTCCTGGAATCTGCAAAGATATGTTTCATAGTATGTATAGTGATTATCTGTGTCCACTACAATATCAGAACAGTGAACAACACTGATGTAATATTTTAGCATGTCATCGGACAAATAAAGCAACAGTTGCTTTAGGGAATAGCAGCAGAATCCAGCTGACCCCAGGCCCATGAAAGAAAGAGCGGGTGTTAACATTTATCTCTGAATAGGCTGTCGTCACCAAAGACAATTTCCTCTTAGAATGTTGTTTATCACCTCTTCTCAGGATTGTTCCAGAAGCTTTTATCTGAGATGTCAGAAAAGCATTGCAGAGAGTACAAGATGTTATATATCAGTACAGTGCAAATAATATTCCTAAGTAGAAATAAGAATCCAAGTAGATACTGTCAATTTATATTTTTCTGCACAAACAAAAATATTGGATATACACTTGTTTTATATTTTATCTGAATCTCCATGAAAAAAATATGAGGAGTGAAGAAATTGGAGTGCCTTAATTGAAGCTCTGACAATTATGAAAGTAATTCCTTGTAAATCACTTGGAAACTTAGTTAATCTATGTTTGGTGATATGTACAGTGCATTCTTCTTGGTAAGTGACATTGAAAGGAAAATGATGATCAAGAATAAAGAGGTTTTCTTTCTCTATAAAAAATGATAAAACAGTAATTGAGACTATAAGCTTATCAGACTTGGTAAACTGAGGTAATCAAAACCGTGGAAGGCTGAAGCACAATATTTAAAACTATTTACAGTCTTAGGCTGTTCATATAAGTTTATAAGGTATGTAAATCTAAGGGAAGACAAATAACAAAAATGAGTTGGGACAAGTCATATCAAGCAACAGTCATGAAGCAAGTTAAATTGTAAAAAAACACAACTACATGCTTATATTTCATACAGGAAAAGCTATATTAAAGACTCTTTTGTTTTTCTCATTTAGGTTATATCTCAGTATAACCCTCAACTCCCTGTGGCTATATATTTACATTGCTTAAATTAAATATAGTTTTTGGATGATAATCAAAAGACAAACTTATGGTTATTGGCTATTATGTGATGTTTTCATTCTATGTATGACTACATCTAAATAAGACATATAATACAGAATAGACATTTTATATAATTATTATTATGTCATCGTATTTTATTAAATGACTTGTACTTTTCTTAGTAGTAACTATTGCTCAAACTTCTCCAAAACTTCACTTGTGTTTCTCACCTCTTTTGCTGGAGTTCCTTTCTCTATATGCAATCAGATTTTTAAATTTCTCTCATGAGTCAGATTCTGTGATTATTGCCTTTCTGTACCTGGTATATTTTACCTAATTTTAGTATCTTCAGGTCCAGTCATCACAAAAACAGGATTTAATTTTTTATAACTAGAAGGTTTTAATTGGTAGGAAACTAATTTGTATAAATATACTTTAATGAGTGAGTATATTCTCATATTATTGATGAACAAAAATTTCAGAAACGTATTGCTACATCTTTTTTGCCATATTGACAATAACAAGATAAATATTTCATTTAAAATTGTCTCATTTTAAACTATTTAAATGCATATTTCTAAACACTCTATTGTACTATGTGTTGTAATATGAAAATATTCAGGCAAATTTTTGCACAAGAGGAATTTATAATATAAAATGTTAATATCAACTCAAGCTTAGACAGGTTAAAAAGACTGTGTGTGTGTTTAAAGTATTATAATAAATTCAATTGTTAGAGGCTGTGTGTTTAATGAGGGACACCACATTGAATGGATCTTGAGAAAAATATATGAAATTATGTAGAGAGCAGTTTTTCTTCAGTGTGGTTTCTTGAGCAGCAGCATTAGCATTTTTCCTTTATTATTCTGCAATAAAGAAGAACAGAATTATGCCATTTTCAGAAAAAAATGTACCATGTTAAAGGAAATCCATGCAGAATTAAGGATTAAAGGAAAACAGAAGCATGAAAGTAGAAAAGGAGTATTTGAGATGTGAAATGCAAGTAGGACAGACTGGAACCAAAAGAGGCTAAACAGAGATGAAGATACTTGATTAAATTATTCACTTATATAAAATTGCATAATGAAACACAAATGTGCTTATAATCAACATGCAACACTAAGGTTTTTTTTATTTTAATGTATATAATATTATTTCACCCAATTAACCAGTAACTATGATATAGAATTTCCAAGTGCCTTTAATAACTGCTGAGCTTAAGAGCATTTGCTGAGGCAAAAGTGTTTAAAGCCCTTTAAATGATCTAATAGAGAAGGAGTAAGTAATTCATGTTCGGGACAAAGTCTTCTCTTTATTCCTTAGTGAATATGACCTTACAATTAGCTTTCCAAAATTAGGGATTTTTAATTCCCAAAGTGTGTCACGTTTGCAAAATATGTGCAGTTAGGAATTCCACGGTCTGACCTCTCAGTCCTCGAAGTATCTGCAATGTCCCTCATTAATCTGTGTAAACCTTGCCCTACTTCTCTTTATCAGGCAGCCCTTTCTCCTTTGAGTATTGCTTTACATATCGCCTTTCCAGAGATGCCATCCCTGGCAATTAATTAAAAAATAGGACAGCTGCACAGTACCATTGGCTGTTATCTCAAGTGGGTAGTGCATTTCTAAGAACATGCTATTTGAATACTGTTCAATAGAATTCTCTTTATTTATTTTATTTATTGAGAGACTCCACTAGATAGTAAAATCCTAGAAGATGATCAGTATGGCAGCATAGTTGTTCTTGATGAGTATATCTAAGTCACACATTTTTGCCTGCATACTCTAAGCATTTTTGAAGATATATACCCCCAGCCTGTATTTTAAAATACTTTGAATATCATTTTATCTAGTTTGAAATAGGATTTTTCTAAAGCTTAATATGGACTTAACTGAAACTAAATGTCAATCTTTTTAAAGTAGGATATGTAATGTCTTTTTCTGGCATTTCTGTCATTGAAAAATTTGTCTATACATTTATACATCCTGAAAATTTATCTAAGTTGATTTTGAAACTTTGAATATGTCACATACAATTAATTTTATAAACATGAACCTGAAATGATCAGAAATAGAGTTTTTCATTTTGATGACTTAAAACTTCTACAATTCTGAATATACCTCAAATGTTAAATTTTTATTTTCTAAAATGAATGGAAAAGGTACCTTGGGAGTGATTTTATCAGTTTTATTTATTTATTTATTTTTTTACTAATGTTCTCACATAAATTTTCTCAGTTTTTATTTTTCTTATTTTTTAATAACTATACTCATTTTCTTTACAAGGAAGTAATGTTTATGAATATGCATGCCCTTGGGAATTTATGTCATTTAAAGGTCTTCAATTTTGCGAGCATATTGTCACTCTTAGTTGGGTTTTAGTAAAAATTTCAGTTAACTGACTTATAGATTCGGCTTCTACGTATAGCTCCTGGCATGTTACTGCACACTGTAATCACAGTAATGAGTGACCTCAACTAAGCGCTCAAGTGAATTTTCAAATGAAAGCACGACCTGTTCAGGACATAAATCTAGGCTGCTCTTTACCCTGCTCTTTACCCGAGGGCCATGTGGAGCTCAATAGTCTACCCTATTCCAAGGGATGGGTGCCACTCATCCAGAGACTGTCCCCAAATGGGCCCAACTTTGTCCTGCTCAGTTACCTCTTTTGTACTTTTTGTTTTGTTTTGAGACAGGCTCTCACTTTGTATCCTAGGTTGATTTGAACTAAAGATCCTCCTGCTTCAGCCCGTGGAGTGCTGAAATGAAAATTGTATACCAAGAATGTTTTCCATTCTTCACTTTTTCCATTTTCTTTACATACTGGGTCCTATTTCACATGCATGGCTTTGTTCTATTCCCATTTACTTTGCTTAAAAATTCCTTTTATTAAAAAATAAAAAATAAAAAAATCCACTTAGATTGTACAGCTGTGAATAAAAGTAAATTTGCTTTTCAGGGAGTTTGGCCGTTGGAAGGTAAATAACCTCGCAGTTGAGAGAAGAAATTTCCTTGGCTCTCCTTTGCCTCTTGCCCCTGAATTCTTCCGCAACATAAGACTTTTGGGACGCCGACCCACTCTTCAACAAATCACAGAAAATCTTATCAAGAAATATGGGACTCATTTCTTGCTATCTGCTACTCTGGGAGGTAGGAGCCTTTGAAAATAATTGTGTTTGTGTTTGCCTGTGAATAAGACTGTATATTCAGTCCAGAAGGTCATTTAATCCATATTACTGCTATAGACTGTCTTCATTATCAAAAATTTTGATGAAGTGATGGTTTAATATCTTCCATAATATTCACAGTTAAGAGAAAGATAAGGGCACTACTTAGTGTCTTCCAAAACCTGCATAGAAGTCAAATATACATGAAATGTATGCATAGTTATGACATTCTATCATACAAATTGATACAGTAAATCATGTTTAAAAAATAAATAGCTTCAATGGAGGTGAGACTCATCACTCTGGTAACAGAGTAAAACATGATTTCCTGGAGTAGTGGTAAAATTATTTTATAGCTTTAAAAACTGCTATTTTGGTAGTGTGTACTTGACCTATGATTTGGGGAAGGTGAAAAATATAAAAACCAATCATGAATATTAAAAAAAGATTAAGACTCACTTATTTCTTAGGTTATTGAGGTTAAGAAACCTATTATTAAGCATGCTTAAACATGGGTTAGCATTGTGGTTATGATTCAGCAGTGTGAATAATCCTAAAGTATGTTTAAGAAGGTAATAAGAAATAAATAAAATATGATATTATAAAAAAATATTTTTTTCAATCTTTCAAATCTTTCTATATAATCAGATTCATATTTTCAACAAGTTGTGCATATTCCAAAGGATGTTGCCAACAGAAAGTGGTCTATCACAAAGTAAATAACCTGTGATTAATATAAAAAATTATTTTTTTAAAAAAGAAAGTAGTCTTTCTGGTTCTATTAAGAGTCTGGTTGTAAAATTTTGATAAGGAATATGAGGGAAGATCATGTGCTTTCTTGTCAATTTTTACATAAATTCAGAAAACGTAGCTGAGCTGATATTCTCACTGTTGAATACTAATTTTTTACTGTGCTCAGCACTATAGGATCAGCCTTCTCTGTTATTGGCCACCCAAACCAGTCTGTCAGGAATTCAGGCAGATAATGATTTGAAATTATATACCATAAGAAACTCTGTCTTCACCTTGTAGGGGGATACTTACAGCAAGTCATCAAAGATATGAATGTCTCCAAAATTTATCATAGTAATTCTGTGGTTCATCCTTCGTGCAGTATATTTGAAAAAGTGATTCAATATAAGATCTTTCTTTCAGTATGAATCAAAAACTTGTCACTTACTTTAAAACCTAAATTTGCTGTGGTTTATAAATCCCAAATTACTCTACCCATCAGAATATTGAAGCAGATGCTGAGGCACATAGCCAAACTTTGGGCAGAGTGTAGGAAATCCTATGGAAGAAGGGGAAGATAGGAAGACCTGTAGGGGACAGGAGCTTTACAAGGAGATCAACAAATCTAAAAAACCTGGGCCCAGGGGGACCTGCCAAGGCAAATACGTCAACCAAGGACTATACATGAAGAAGACCTAGTCCCTCTGCTCATATGAAGCCCATAGGCTTCTCAGTTTCTAGTGGGTATCCTAGTAAGGGGATCAGGGGTTGTTTCTGACATGAACTCAATGTCCTGCTCTTTGATCACAGCCCACTTGGGGGTGCAGTCTTGCCAGGCCACAGAGGAAGATGATGCTTCTAGCCTTGGTGAGACCTGATAGGGTAGGGTCAAATATAAGGAGAGGAGTTCTTCCCCATCAGGTGTGTAGGGAAAGGGCATAGGGAGAGAAGAGGGATGGAGGGTGGGGCTGGGAGGAGATGATGGGAATGGGGAGAGCTACAGACTGGATACTAAGTGAGTAAATTGCAATAAATAATTAAAAAATAAAACAAAAAAAAAAAACAAACACAAAAATGTATTAGCTTTATTTCGAACATCATGTGTGACTGTTCTTAATGTATTTTATAGTTATAGTACCTTTTAATTTACTGAGAATACAGCAAACCTATTATTCTGTGGCATATTATTATCATATTTTGCCTTGTTCATAAGCTTTATACTTATTAAAACATATTTGGTTTGTTTATTGACCTTTACTGTGTGTGTTACCTTATCTCTCTGTTGCTATAATAGCTTTTGGATGTAAGGCAGGCTTTTGTTAAATTGTTTGTTCATTAAATAACAATATAGAATTATACCAGGAGACTAACACTAAGACTGACTAGTTTTTCTAAAGAAAAAACAAACAACAACAACAAAATGTTAGCTCTGTAATTTGCAGAGGATACTCAAGTTCTAATCCTGAAATAAAGAAAACATAAAAAAACAAAAAACAAAAAAACTGAAATTGAGCCAGGTGTGTTGCTGTGTTGGTGCACACCTTTAATCCCAGCACTCAGGAGGCAGAGGCAGGCAGATCCCTGTGAGTGTGAGCTGATGAAGGCCAGGGCTACACAGTGTAAACCAACAACCAAAACCCAAACAATGACAACTAAACAAAACACCTTGAAACTGGTGAATTTTCCAAAGACTCATAATTGAAGAGATTTAGGGTTCTAGCAAAAGGCAGACATGTAAAGTATGAGCAGGTTGGAAAGTGATAGAGCCCGCCCATATTTAGAAGATGCCAGTCTACTGTGTCACATCATGACACTAAAAGGGCAGCATGAAGGTGATGGGCACAAAGAACAGGCTGCTGTATGTGGATGCAACCTCATTCCCACCTTCGTAGGTGGGTATTCACAGAACAGCAGAGAGAGACAACAAATACGTGCTAAGTCCCACCTGTCTCCACTTTAAACTAACTGAAGACATTAAAATCATTTTTACCAATCCCTATGATTTTGCTATTTATTTTATAGTTAGGGAAGAAACAACATATATATGGAAGTCATGATGATACTTTTGAAACATATTTGGAGATTCCTTTAATGCAGCATAAACTTCAATATCAACATATGATATTTAAGTTTCTGCCATTATATTAGTATAGATATGAGAAAAATAGAATATCTCAACAATTACAAATTTGTGCAACATGTGTCTAATTTGTCTTGTAATGCCAAGTATTATAAGTATAATGAAGTCTAAAGTTTGAAAGCAACGTTGTTTCTAAATATTCACGAAATTGAATAATTTAAGGCGTATATAAGGCTTCACTACTCCTTAATCAGCAAGGTAAAGGAGCTATAATAATTTCTACCTATAAAATAAAGTTTACAGGTAGGGAAAACCAAAGCATATGTAGCTCCATATATTCGATTGTTAACATGTTTTTCAAATTTTGTTGATTTTTTACTTATTTCATTACTTTTACAATATGAATGTAACATTTGTGTTGAGTATTGATTTTCTTTTACTGTTTTTGTTTTTGTTTTGATTGGTGTTGCTGGTGATCAGTGATTTCTAAGTAGTGTTTAAAATCTTCATGGGATGAAGTCACTTCTGAGAAGGCCCATTCCTCTGTTCCTGTGACACTGGGGTGTTACTATTTGCATTTCTCACTTCATCTTACACAAAATCTCCAAAGGCTCTAAATAGAAATTATTACCAATGACCAGATTAAGTGAAACTGCATCTTCTAAAGAAAATGTAGGCTTGCTTATCATTCAATAAAAATGTGTCTGGCAAATAAATTAAGACAATTTAATGCATAAAATAAATAAATTAAAATTTAATGCATAAAATAAAATTAGTGATAATTTTTTCCAATGATCTAACAAAAATCTGTTATGAAAGCTTAATACACTGATGACCATAATTAAATATAAAAAATAATCACAAGACAAGTCTGTATTTATAGGCTAATGGAAGCAACATTTCTTGAATATTCTGCTGAGCCTTCAACTTAAGGCTCAATGAATTCACTGTCCCACTATCAGTGCCATTTTTTTTTTTTGGTCTGTTTTTCTTTTTTTTTTTAAGTTTTATTTTTCTCATTAGTTACATTTTGTTAATTCTGTATCCCAGCTGTATCCCTCCTTCCCTCCCCAGTCCCACCCTCCCTCCCTCATCTCCTCCCTGCCCCTTTCCAAGTCCACTGATAGGGGAGAACCTCCTCCCCTTTCATATGACTACGTTTTGTCAGGTATTTTCAGGACTGGCTGCAAAGTCCTCCTCTGTGGTCTAACAGTACTGCTCCTCCCTTGGGAGGTGAGGAGGTCAAAGAGCCAGTCATTGAGTTCCTGTTAGAAATAGTCCTTGTTCCCCTTACTATGGGAAACAAATTGATTACTGAGCTATCACGGGTCACATCCGAGCAGAGGTTCTAGGTTTTATCCTCTCATGGTCTTTGGTTGAGTGTCCATCTCAGAAAAGACCCTGTGCCCAGATATGTTTGGTCCTTGTAGAGTTCCTATCCTTTCCACATCAAACTCCCCTTCCTTCGTATGATTCTCTGCACTCTGCTGAAGGTTTGGTTATGAGTCTTAGTATCTACTTTGATACACTGCTAGGTAGAGTCTTTCAGATACCTTCTGCAGTAGACTCCTGTCATACATTCAATGCATATCCCATTTGTCTTTCTAAATGAGGATTGATCATCATACCCCATGTCCACTTTCTTGATTATCTTCTTTAGGTGTATAGATTTCATTATGTTTATCATATCTTTTAGGTCTATATAAGCGAGTATATTCCATGTTTGTCTTTCTCCTTCTGGGATACTTCACTCAGAATGATCTTTTCTAGATCCCACCATTTGCCTGCAAATTTCATGATTTCCTCTTTTTTGATTGCTGAGTAGTATTCCATTGTGTAAAAATACCACAATTTCTGTACCCATTCCTCCATTGATGGACATCTGGGTTGTTTCCAGGTTCTGGCTATTACAAATAAACCTGCTACAAACATGGTTGAGCAGATGTCCTTATTGTGTACTTGAGCAAATTTTGGGTATATGCCTAGCAGTGGTATAGCTGGGTCTTGAGGAAGCACTATTCCTAGTTGTCTGAGAAAGCGCCAGATTGACTTCCAAAGTGGTTGTACCAGTTTACATTCCCACCAGCAATGGAGGAGGTTTCTCCACAACCTCTCCAGCATGTGTTGTCCCTTGAGTTTTTCATCTTGGCCATTCTAATGGGTGTAAGGTG